TATTATTCTACAGGTGCGCCGGCCCACCCTCTGGACATCGACTGCTGCCGGTGTAGCCGGAGTGACGTCAGAAGGTTCGCCAAGGAGGCTCGGGCTCTGGGCGTACAGTACGTGGGTCTGTGCTGTGGCAGCAGCTCCAACATGCTGAGAGAGGTGGCCCAGGAGTACGGGCGAACCCCCGCGGCCGGCGTCTACGCCCCTGACATGGACAAATGCACGCTGGCCCAGGCTAGGACCGCCCACGTACAGAAGAGGCAGTTCTTCGCCTATTCGCGGGTGTACAATATCGCTACGTAGTGGGCTATGTGTGTGGAGTTTGAATAGGAGAATGTCGGTCGTGATAGAGACAAGAATATCATTTGTATTGAAAAAAATAGTTGTGTGAAGGATTGGATCCTAAATATATAGGCCTATGTTACGTATACATAAATACACGTATATACATTTTTTTTCAAGAGAAAGTTACACATTGGTATTCAAATAGATCGATAGCAGACAGACAGGCTGACAGACAGACAGACGGACAGACAGACAGACGGACAGACGGACAGACGGACAAAGGGATAGATAGAAGGGTCGATAGATAGATAGAGAGACAGGTAGATCGACAGACAGACAGACAGATCTAGATAGATAGATAGATAGATAGATAGATAGATAGATAGATAGATAGATAGATAGATATACCCACCCTTCTTCTTTTACCTTTTCTGATCTACACTTTTACGCCGTCTCTATAGTTATGTCATGTCTAAAACGACATGACTTTTGTATTATGTATGTATGTCTATACAAATATGTTATCCGAGGGTAGAATGGCCCAAACACAAAATAATAATTATAATTATTTTTATTACAATAATATGATTTACAAAAGAAATAAACAGTCACATTGATGGATAAAAAACGACTTGCATTGCTTACTGCTATTGAACAATTTAATTGTTCTACTTGCTGCTCGTACGTACGTTTTAAGGCCGACAACTTTGGTGGACTCAACGTGTCCAGTGTTATGTACTTTCATCGAAGATGTAAAGATCATCCAGGTCTTTAGCGCAATTAGTGACGAGGTAGTTTTATATCCAGTTTAAGTTTCTATTCGTTAAAAAAATATTAATTTGATCTGAACTGATATTTTTTCAGATACGACGATTGTAGGTAATCATGTTGGTTCAGATTTCTTCTCTTCATTTTTTTCTCTCCGCTATCTTGTATTTTATTAGAGAAAGGCTCTATGGTCCTCTTGGTACTATGAAATATTCTTTAGAAGAGTCACAAAAAATCTCGACTTCAAATAATACTTTTTACATTTATTATTTAGCAGTTCGAGTTGACCAGTTGACTCGTTTTACAGTTCGGCTCGCCAATGCCAGTGTTAGTATCCGAATTCAATCTTTTACCATTTTGTTAGAAAAAATAAAAATACCTCGGGAAAGAAGAAAAATTGATATACAATTACATTATTCAAGAAGTAAAACGATTTTTAAGTTTAGAAGGCTGAAAAAGAGAAAATAGAATAACCTATGCATATATTCATACATCCTTTTAGCCTACGGGCGATTGCCTACGGGGTTATTGTTTACCTGTCGTTGAACGTCCCCGTAAGAACTCACGAAAGCGATGCGATTCGTTGTCCAGCATGATGTCATTTAAAAAAACCCCAGAAAATTGTCAGCCCAAGGGATAATAAACCAAATTGTATACTTGTGTAGGTTTATGCCCCTTGCAACACAATGAGGTTATTCAAGAGGCAGGACCTCCGAATTTAACGTTCATCTCTGACATGACTGGACCAAATGGTAAAAATTCACACAGTCAAATACCTCTCTGAAGATCACGACATCGGACCGCGCTCAGCCCCGAAGCCCCGTACCCATAATCTAATGATTTTTGGTCCGTTAGCAAAAACAGGAGACATCCGATGCCACAGAACGCAAGGAATTACTTAGTAGTTTGCTTTAATCAGACTTTTACAGCGCTGACAACTGCATAGGGGGCTCTCGTCGCCTAGAGGTTAAGGTGTTGGCCTCTCATTCAAAGGTCCCGGGTTCGAATCCAGGTAGCGACCAAAACATTTTCTTCTCTAAAATTGTCTCCTTTCACCTCCTTTCCTGCTCTCTACCAATGTTCTGTTGTCTGCTTTC